TATCTCATCTCTCATATATCTCATCTCTCATATATCTCATCTCTCATATATCTCATCTCTCATATATCTCATCTCTCATATATCTCATCTCTCATCTCTCATACCTCATGTCATACCTCATGTCAATATGAAAATTATATGATGTTATATGAAAATGATATATTATAACTATACTAAAAGAATAGAAGAAAGGATTTCATTAGAAGGCTAGCTAAGAATATAAAGGAATGAATAACAAAAGCTCATGACTCTCAGAGTGCGAGCCAGCTGGCTGTGATTGGCCATTAATTAGAAACAACCAGCATGGACCAATCACAGATGCACCTGTTGCGTTCCACAGCAGCAGATAACCATTGTTTTTCTTTTCCTCTGAGGCTTCTCAGGAGAAAAATCCTGGCAAAGGGATTTTTCAGAAAATATCATGGTGACATGATTCAGCCTAATTGGATAATTTTGGAGGCCAGTGGTAGCTGGGTGCTGTCAGAGCACCCAATTCCACTAATCCTGCAGGGAGCACTTGCAGAATTCAAACTCCTGGCTCTCAGTGTTCCTCACTGAGCCTCGTGGTTTTCCCTCCTGGAGCACACTGTGAGGATGAAAATGAACCCTTGGCTGGCCTGGCCTGGCACTGGCTGTTTTCCCAGCTCCCTGGAGCTCAGAGTAAGGCCAGGCTCACCCTGCTGAGGCCCAGCACTGAGCTTTACCCAGGTTGTTTGTGTTTTCCAGCCGCCAGGAGCGTGCCCAGGATCCGCTGTTCCCCGAGGAGAAGCTCCCCACGAAGCCCCGCAAGCCTGAAGTGGCTCTTTCCATCAACGTGGGCGTTTTCAGATAGCACCAGGAGCTGCTCTGCCCACACCACCCTGTGCTAACCTGGCCTGCAGCTCCAGCAGCAAGAGGGGCTCTCCCAAAGGGTCTTCAAGGATCCCTGAGGCACAAACTGGCTGTAGGATTCAGGATAACGCTGATTTTCTTCTGCTCTCTCTTGGGGAAGTGCTTTAAGGGTCCCTTTCTCAGTGTGGTACTTACTCTCAGGCTGAGTAAATGCACTTTATAGAGGAGGAAAAGGATTAATATATTGTATAACCCCTCAGTGACTCTTTTTTAACCACCCAAAATGCTTTGTTGGGTCAGATCTGACCCTCCTGCACCATCACTACTGAGATCTAATGCAGTCATAATCATCTCTTTTTAGAATTGTTTCCCATCTCTGATCACTGAAGCTGCTGTTGATACCAGAATTTGCTTTTCTCTCTTTATCTCTAAACCTAAGTCTGTAAGAGCTGGAGTCAGCCCTAAGAATGAAGGCAGTGTGGAAATCTCTGAGCAGAGTGCAGGAAATTGGCTTAAAAAGAACAAGTCCAGGATCTGTCAAGATGTAAAACCTGGAGACATCTTTTGATGTGGAACAACAGGGACGTAATCTTAGATTTTGAAGTTTCTGGGGCCTGTTTTGTTGCCCATAAACTTCATTTTGCAATTTCTAGGGTATTTTTGTTGTCCCTGAACTTCATTAACAGGCAAAGCGGTTGGAAAAAATGGACAGATCCAATGTTTGAGCTTCAGTGGGTTTTACTCAGGAAAAAGGCTTGCATTCATTTTCAGTGCTCCTCTTCAGAGGAGTTTCCCTCATTTCCCATCTTTCCAGCTGTTCTGATACTGTTACATTGGAGAACCAGTTTCTCTTGGTGTCCTGAGCTGACTTTGAGCAGCTCACTGAGCTCCAGGTCAAAGGCTCTGAAGTATTAACTCCAAAGTGAGCCTGATTATCCTGAGTTAAATCTGTGGCAATGACAGGACAAAACACAAGTTTGCTTTTGGGGGCTGCAGTAAATATTGGACCTATTTGCTGTATGTAAGAGGAGCTGCCAGTTGAGAAGATTTCTCAAATTTTGGGTAATGTGAGGTTTAGATTTTTCATGTACCTTTTATAGGTTAACACTACTCTGGTATTTCAGACAGCAAAAAGATAAAAACTGACACTCTGCTAGCAGCAAAACAAAAGAAGTGAAAAGCACCATGAAACACACAATTATTATTTATTTCTGTGCATATCTTTAGAATTCAGCAGGTGCTCCTGTGCTTTTTGGGGCTGATGCTCTGCAGAAGGAGCTGTTTAATGTCCTCACTGACTTGGATCCTGAAATCTGAGTTTCATGAATACATTTTCTGCCTGTGGAAGGGGCAGTGGAGGTTTTCCCATCTTCATTTGTGTCGCCTTCTTTCCATGTCAGGTGTTCTTGGGAGCCTGGCTTTACAGCAGGGATCAGAGGTGCTGATTCCAAAGGTTTGTGTTCCCACATGGTTCCAGCCCGTTGGATTTGTTGGCTGTCCCTTCAGTTCCTCTGGTTCCTGCTGGAGAGCTGGGCTGAGCTCAGCCCTCCCCTCTTGAATAACTCTGGCCTCTCCCTGAGAACACCAAGTTTGGAGAAATTGAAATGCAAATTCCAAGTGGGAATTTTGTGCCTTTGTTCAAGTGTAATGTAGCAGCACCTGCACTGAACCAATCTTGGATTATTTCTAGTGTTGGCTCAAAATGCTTTTTGGTTTTTTTTTCCTTCCTTGAAACTCTTGTGGGCCATTCCACAATGAGAGAGTTCATGGAAAACGGGGCTGGGGAGAGGAAACACCTTTTGAAAACGGAGTCTTGGTGACTCTCTCGGTTCTGATGGTTATTCAGCCTGGAAGAGCTTTCATCTTTATTTTTCAAGTGTTCTTCACAAAATAAAATGTCATTTTTATCTGCCTAGTTGGCTTGTCTGTGGATGTCTCACTGGTTGGGAGTGGCACCAATGGGTTTCTGATGTGAGTATTAATTAGCTTTAATTTTCCAACGTTTCTGGACCAACATTCCCATCTCTGGGGGAGGTTTCCCCATTCCTTGTGGCTGTTGTTATTTCCTGAGCCTCCTGTCTTGGTCCTGCCTCAGGGCTCTGAGTGCAGGAGCAGCTTTGCTTTGTCCCATTATTCCAATTCCTGTGGGGGAAAGCACCAAAGATGGCAGGAAAAGTTCCTCCATCAGGACACAAATTAAAGCCACTCTGATGCCCTAGACTTATAAAAAGGCTTGGAAAATTTTTTAATTCCAATTTTAATGCATTTTTTGGACTGGTTATTTTGAGCAACAGGTTTTGACTGAAATTAGCAATTGGCTTCTAGAGACTACTAAGCCACTTCCTGGGAAATAATTATTTTTAAGGGTTTTTTTAATTTGTTTTGGGGGTTTTGGTGGGGGGTTCTTTATATTTTTTCTCCTTTTTTTCCCCCCTCTTTTTTTTCCCCTCTTTTTTTTCCCCCTCTTTTTTTTCCCCCTCTTTCTTTTTGGTCCTCTTTTTTCTCCTCTTTTTTTCCCACTTTTTTCCCACTTTTTTCCCGGGGGTTTGGGGGCTGTTTCCCGGGTTTTTGGGGCAGTTTCTTGGGTTTTGGGGCTTTTCTCAGGATTTCTGAGTCTGTTCCTGGGGGTTTGGGGGCTGTTTCCAGGGTTTTTGGAGATGTTTCGGGGGTTTGGGGGCTGTTTCTGGGGTTTTGGAGCTGTTTCCAGTGATTTGAGAGCTGTTCTCTGATTTTGGGGCCTGTTTCCCTAGGTCTGGGGCTGTTTACAGTGTTTTTAGGGCTGTTCCCGGGGTTATTAGGGCTGTTCTCGAAGTTTTTGGGGCAGTTTCTGGGGGTTTTGAGGCTGTTCGTGGGTATTTAGGGGGCTGTCTCTGGGGTTTGGGGGGCTGTTTCCAGGGTTTTGGGGACTGTTTCTGGGGCTTTGGGGATGCTTACAGTGGTTTTTAGGGCTGTACCCGGGGGTTCGGAGCTGTTTCCAGGGTTTTGGGGACTGTTTCTGGGGTTTTGGGGCTCTTTTTGGGTCTGTTTCTGGGGATTTGAGGGCTGTTTCCAGGTTTTGGGAGCTGTTTCTGGGGTTTAGAGGGCTCTTTTGGGGGTTTTTGAGGGCAGCTCCCGGAGGTTTTGAGGCTTTTTCCAGGATTTTTTGGACTGTTTCCAGGGATTTGGGGACTGTTTTTGGGGGTTCGGGGCTGTTTACAGTGGTTTTAGGGCTGTTCGTGGGTATTTAGGTGCTGTTTCTGGGGTTTTGGAGCTGTTTCCACGGATTTCAGAGCTGTTCCCGGGTTTCGGAGGCAGTTTCCGTAGGTCTGGGTCTGTTTACAGTGTTTTCAGGGCTTTTTAGGGCAGTGTTTACAGTGTTTTCCCGGGGTTTTTAGGGCAGTTTCCGAGGTTTTTGGGGCGGTTCCTGAGGTTTCCCTCCCCTGAGGGCGGCGCGGGGCGGGCCCGTTGCTATGGCCGCGCTGCCCCCTTAGCAACGGGCCGTGCGCGCGCCGCGCGGGGCACGCCGGGAGCGCCGTGCGGGGCCGGGGGCGGGCGGGCCCCGCTGCGATCCCGGTTCGAGCCCCGGCCCGGCCCGGTTCGAGCCCCGGCCCGGCCGCGATGAACGAGGCGGTGTCGCGGCAAACGCGGGAGACCCTGGGGCAGGTGATCCGCAAGCCGCCGCTCACCGACGCGCTGCTGAGCAAGCCGCCCTTCCGCTACCTGCACGACCTGATCAGTGAGGTGGGTGTGTGGGGCTGAGGCACCCGCGGGCCTCCCCCGGCGTGTGGGGCGTGCCCGGAGCGCTGCGTAAATCACGGGGGTTTGGGGTGGGAAATCACGGGGTTTTGGGGGTTTTGTGGGTTTTGGGGTGGGAAATCACGGGGTTTTCGGGAGTTTGGGGTGGGAAATCACGGGGTTTTGGGTGTTTGGGGTGGGGAATCACGGAGTTTTGGGGGTTTGGAGTGGGAAGTCACAGGGTTTTGGGGATGTGGTGTGGGAAATCAGGGGGTTTTGAGGTGGAAATCACAGGGTTTAGGGGGTTTGGAGTGGGAAATCACGGGGTTTTGGGTGTTTGGTTTTGGAAATCAAGGGGGTTTGGGGTGAGTTTGTGAGGTCTGGGCACCTGAAGCAGTAGGAAAAGTGTTAAGGGGGGTTTTGGGAATCAGGAGTTGTTCCCTGTGAGGGTGGGCAGGCCCTGGCAAAGGGTGCCCAGAGAAGCTGTGGCTGCCCCTGGAAGTGTCCCAGGATTGGAGCGGCCTGGGATAGTGAAATATCAGAGAATGCCGGAATCGCTGAGGTTGGAAAAGCCCCTTGGGATGTCTGAGTGCAGTCTGTGCCCCATGCCCACTGTGCCACTCACTGAGTGCCACATCCAGGCCTTCCCTGGGCACTGCCGGGCATGGGGACTGCACTGCATTGCCTACCCCTCCTTTCCACGAAGGACACTGTGAAAAATGCATGTATTTTATGATTGGCTTTTTGCAAACATTGAAATGAATATTATATGTGTTGTGTGAGAAAGTAATGCTGTATTAATTCTCTCAAGTAGTGTGTTACATATAGTTTTTAGGTTATAAAAATTGTTAAAATAGAAACTGTGCTATTTAGGATACTTTTTTAAAAGAAAGGACTCGCAGCGAGATAGCAGCCACAGGACACCTGAATCTTTCAGAGAAATAGAATTTATTGCCCCATTATCAGGAGAAATGAACAACTTCCCACCTCGAAGGTGCTGTCAGAATTCAGAGGAAGAAGTTGACAATGACCAGACAGAATCCTGTGTTTGAATGGAATTTATCCATCATATATGAGCTGTATGAATATGCAACAGGCTGTTGCTTTTAAGGGTTAATCCTCTGTTAACGTGGGTCCTTTTTTGGGCTCGTGCTGCCCAGAAAAAGGCACCTGGACATTCAAAACTCGTTGTTTCTGTTGTCTCATATTGTCCTAATTCAAATTGTCTAAATTATTGTTACTCTAATTGTATTACTATTTTTATAACCATTTTATTGCTATTAAACTTTTAAAAATAAGTGATTGGTGATTTTCACAGACACATTTCCTGCTGCCCCACAAGGCTTATTGAGCTTTAAATGTTCTTGACTTACCCCGTTTCTTCTGTTTTTTAGGTGATCAGAGTGACAGGTTTTCTGAGAGGACTTTACACAGATTTCGAGCTGAAGTCAGATAATGTCAAGGTGGGCATGGGACTTCCTTATTTATTTAGCTTTCAGGGTGTTTTGCAACTTGCCACAAGGTTTTTCTGGTCTTCTCTGTGTTCAGCACCAAGGGGCTGTTGTTGTTTTTGCGAAGAAGTTGTAAAACTTCATTCTGGTGGGTTATATTATACTTTCCATGGGATAAACACCTATAGATTTGTGTGCAACTTTTTGGTTTTAAAGAGTTTTTGCAATCTCTCAAGAGAATCCACGGCCCTAAACTTACTGCTCTCTATATTTGTATGTACAAACACACATATATATATATGGTATATAGATATATACATTAAATATCTGTGTTTAATATCCCAGGACTCATTTGTCTAGGATATGCATTCCACAGGAGCTTTATTGCAGTATAAAACTGGCTGATTACTGAAAGAGGAGGTTAATGCTGTTACTGAAAACTCCTTTTCTTAAGTCCAAGGGTGACTTTACTCTCTGTTTGCTGCCTTCCTGTGATTTTTGGCTGAGCTGATGCCAAGTTCCCCAACTCCAAGCCTGATTTGGGAGCTTTGGTTGCTGATTCCTGGCAAACAAAGCAGTTTTTGTGTGTTGCCACTTAGGCAGCTGATCCCATGGTGTTTGTTTAACATAGCAACTGAAGTGTGAGCTCTGACTTCTCATCCCTCCAGCCAGTTTTAGTCACTGATTAATACATGTGTTTATTGCTGTGACTGCTCCTACTGCTGTCAGGATAACTACAATTAAGTAATTTATAACTGAATTGTTGGGTTTTTTTTTTTTTGCTAGTGTCCTTGTTGGCTCAAAAAGCAAATTTCCCAGCAGCTCCTGAGCAGGTCTTTGCTGCATCCACGTGCTGCTACCTCTCTGAGAATTTCTTTCACACATTTCTTTCACAGCCCATGAGTCCATGGGGTTTTCCAGAGCTCAGGCAGAGGAGATCAAAATCTTGGACTGTGGGGAAAAATGTCTAAATGTCTCAAAACCTTGAGTTCCTCTTCCCAAAGCTGGTCAGGAGGACAACTCAGCTGATTCCTTGCTGTGATTTCTTTTGGAGTTGTAGAAGATCAGTAGAATAATTTTTATCTAAGTAATCAATAGGAGAGAGCTTATAAGGAAGGCTGAAATCATGAAGATTCCTTAACTGGGAGGAATTCTGTGAAATTTCTCTTGGCTTTACTTTGTTAATTTTGTCTTTTATTTTTTACTTCTGATTTTATGTCATCATTGGAAGACATCATCTTTATTGAAGGGCAGGTGATTTGTGAAGTATAACTGTGAAGCTAAAACAATCATGATAATAATTGTGGAGACAAAAGTTTCTCTTAATTGCTCTTTTACCAGGATAAGGATTCCAAAATCAACTTCCTTCAGAAGGCCATCGATGCAGTTGTGATGGTGACAGGAGAGCCACTGGCAGTGAGACCAGCACGAGTGGTGGCTGGGCACGAGCCTGAGAAAACCAATGAATTCCTGCAGGCCATTGGGAAGTGCTGCTTGAACAAGGTAGGACAGAATTACACAGATTTCATGCACGCAGGGAACAGGCACAGGAGGAGAGGAACAGCCTGAGGCTGGGCCAGGGCAGGCTCAGGTGGGACAGCAGCAGGAATTTCTGCATGGAAAGCATGCTCAGGGATTGAAGGGGCTGCCCAGGGAAGTTTGGAGTGCCCATCCCTGGAGGTGTCCCAGGAACATTTGGATGTGGCACTCAGAGCTCTGGGCATCAGTCACAGCTTGGACTCTGTGACCTTGGAGGTCTTGTCCAACCCAAATGATTCTGTGCTTTAATTACCCCTCTGCTGTCATTAA